TCAGAGACCTTCTCCTGATCTGAAAATTAATAAAGGCAACAACATGATTCATTTTCAAAAAAAATATTTTAAAGCGATAAAGTCAGATTGAGACATCTAATCAATCTTTACACCATGCTGTAGACAATCACAATTTGCTATATCACTACACACTTACTGAGGGTCTCAAACACAAGGGCCAGTGTATCTGCATTATCTTCTGCTCTGAGGGTGATGATGTCTTCATTTCCTGCACACTTCAGGATCTTCGACATACTGAAAAAAAGGTTGTAAAACTTTAGACTCTTGATTACAACGAGGAGAGATGAGCTGTGTATATATATATATATATATATATATATATATATATATATATATATATATATATATATATATATATATATATATATATATATATATATATATATATATATATATATATTTTGGTATTTTTATTAAACTGGAACAATCAATGTGAACAGAAGACTAAAGAAAAGGCTCCGCCTTACTACGTGACGAAACCGGAAGTAGAAGTTCCCGGGTTAAATAATTCCCGCCAACTCACCCGGCAAAATTATTTGGCGCTTAACTGAGTGCGCATTTCAAGTCACTGATATATATTCCTTAAACTAATTAAAAATAATAATAAGGAGCGTTCGGATCAACGTTTGTGGGTTTTGCAAGCGGAAAAAATATACATACATATGATGATTGCGCAGTTCGGCAGAGAAACAAGCCCGGGCAAATCCGCCAAGATGGCCTCCTTCTTTATGATAGCAACAGCGGATCAATATAAGCGAAGCCAAATACTATAGATATTGCTTTAAAGCTTTAAAGTTACCCCCAAAAAATAAACTTTATTTTCACCATTCGTCGCCCAATTTGGTAACCATCGTTATCATTTGATTTCACCTGATCATCAAAAGTACGTTTCATGTAATAAATTAATCAAGCGTAAATGTAACGGTCCTAAACTTAATAAGATATCTATAGGACGGTTGGCCTCACCTGCTGAGGTTGACCCCCATGGCCAAATTTCTATCGCAGCGGTAAGAGTCGAAGCCATCATGCCGCAGAGTGAGCTGCACCAGGGAGACATGAGAGGAGTCCATGCTCTGGAGCGAGATGCCTGACGAGCTAACATCCCAGCAGGCTTCTGTGATCAGATCTTTAAGAGCCTCCAGCACCTTCTTCAGGATGGAGCCCTGCACCAGGCGAGCCTCGAACATGTTTGCTGTGGGGTATTTGCGTCTGCGTGGAGAGAGGAGAAAAAGTCTGTTCTTTCCGCTTTAAAGCGTCGCACCGTCGAAATGGAAGCAGGAACAGAGAGTTAACGTGAAGCGGGAGAGACAGATTTGGTCTTTGTGTTGATAGCGGGGACTGAGTCTCCTCCACGGACCACTCCGACTGCAGGAAGAAAAGTTTGAGCCGGAATGAGCGCGCTAACGTCTGTTTTATAATTCCTCCAATTACGTCATTTCCGTTCGCTTGTAAGTACCGCCCAGTTGCTAAAATTGACGCACAAAGAAGAAAGAAGAAAGTAAATATAGAGAAAGAGAGAAAATTGAGTATTAAATGAATTTTAGGGACAGATGGAAATAGGGAGTAAAATTAGGTTATTGATAAAGCATTGTTTTTATTTTTATGTAACAAAGAGCTACACACTCATGGACAGTAGGTGGCGGTATACTCCTATAAATTGTTTGCAATCCGCCAATCTAACAAAGAAGAAGAAGCAGGAGATCTTTGAAAACATGGATCATGATGGAAAATGAGTGTGATAAAATAATTACAAAAATCGAAATGAAACTTTTAAAAGGTTGAAAAGGAATCACTGTTCACAGAATATTATGGAATAAAAGAGATGTCAGACTCGAGTGAGAAGAACTATAAAAAAAAATGCAAAAAAGGATTGTTGGAGGATTTTTGTAATTCAGTGGGAAGAGAAACATAGATTAAAAGTATGATCAATGATTTAAAAAAAATTATTGGTATTAAAATACAGTATGGTAATCCAGCAGCTAAGGATGAAGAATGTGTATAAATGATGGCAAATATTTTTATCAAATATATAGCTCAGATAATATTACTTTGGAAGGGAATGGGGAAAGAGAAATGACAGTATTAGAAAACAGACAGATATCAGAGCAGATAGAAAATGTAAAAAATGATTTATTGAATGTCGATTGAATTAAATCGAGCTCTCCAGAAAGGTAAACTAACAACACCAAGAAAATATAAAATTTTTTATTTAATGTTAAAACATTAAATAGACATTTAATGTCTATTTAACATTTAAAAAGACATTTTATTCAAACTTTATTATAAAGTTTGGGAAAATCGAAAATTACTAGAGAGTTAGATAGAGATTGTTATAATAATACCAATATGTATACAAAGCCTGAAAATTAAAGCCCTATTGCGTTAACATCAAATATTTTTAAATAGTGGAGAAAGAGATTAATGAAAGGAGGATTTATTACATTGAATCATAAGGATATATATCAAAATAAAGTGGCTTTAGGGGCGGAAGGAATACTATATATGTAGTTTTGATTTTGGAATTTGAAATCAGAAAAGTGCAAATTAATAAAGTATTTTAGCAGTGTTTTTTGCTATTGAGAAAACATATGATATTTTGCGTAAACAAGGTTTTTTAATTAAAATGAACAAGATTGATGTATTACAGGTAGGATGTAAAGATATTCTAACTAAACGACAAGTACAAGTTAAAATAGGAAATCACTATTCTGATAAATATATTGTTGAAAACGGTACTCCACAAGGAAGCATAATAAGTCCTTAATTATTTTCGATAATGATAGATCATGTGTTTCAAAATGTAGATTGTGGAGTGGGATTTTCTCTTTTTTCTGATGATGGAGCAACGTGGATGAAAGGGAGGAATTTGGAGTTTATTACTAAAAAGATGAAGAAGAAGGGTTTATATTTTCTTTAGGGATAAGACTAAAACAATGTTCTTTTCAAGGAATACATTTTGTAATCATTTAAAATGAAGCAATAAAACTTATATACCGGTAACCAGAAATAGAAAAAGTGAGGCAATTTAAATTGGTAAGGGTTTGGTTTAATGAAAGACTTACATGGAATATACACATTCAAAAGGTTTTAGACAAATGCAAGAAAGTATTAAATATCTTAGCACTTAAAGATAGGATTAAGAATAGCACTTAAGGATATATATATATACAGGGCTAATTAGATCAGTGATATATTATAGACGCATTGTATATAATTCAGCAGCAGAGACAAAAATTTAGATCGTATTCAGTACCAAACATTGAGGTTTTGTACTGGGGCAATTAAAGCTACTCCAACAGCAGCATTATTAGTAGAAATAGGAGAAATGCCACTTGCATTAAGAAGAGAGCAATTAACCTTAAATGATTCTGCTAACTTAAAAGGTCATAGACAGGATCATCCAACTCATCAAGCAATAAAACCCTGTTGGGAAAAAGAAATAAAAGACATTAGAAGTTTTGGTTGGATTGTGTAGAAAAGGATTCAAAATAGATCAGATTAGTATAAGCCAAACAGTTCCATTATCAATAATACAGCCTTGGATTATTCCAGATGTCAATGTAGATTTTACTTTGTTGAAAAAGAGAAGCAATAAGGAATTCACTCTAAATGCATTTATAGTACAGGATTATATTAATAAATATTATAGTTATGTAAGAAATATACAGATGCTTCTAAAAAATATAATATCAAACAAGAGTAGCTTTTAAATGACCAGAATTCAATGTTAAAATTAGGAAAAGAATAAGTGATCAACTTTTTTTACACACGAGACATGATTGCAATATTATCAGCTATTCAATGGGTTGAAGATGTTAAGCCATTCAGATCAGTCATATGTTCAGATTCAAATTCATCCTTAAATAGTTTGCATTATAGTCATCCAGAAAACAGGCCAGATATTTTAATAGAAATTCAACCGACACTATATAGAATAAATATGATGGCTTAAATTATAATTTTTGTATGGAGACCAGCACATTGTAGACTTAAAGGAAATGAACAGGTAGTCTGGAAAGCAAAAGAAGCTGTTAGAGATTTAACAGTGTATTTAATTATTAATTTTTGTATATAGGAAGTTAACATGTTAATCAAACAGAAAAAAAAGGATAAATGACAAAAGGAATGGGAGAAAGGAAAAAGAGGACATTGTTTTTTATAAAATTCAAAAGAAAACTGTAGAAATCAGAAGAACAAGATGAGAAAAATCAATTATTTCTCATTTGAGATTTGGGCATACTAGATTAAATGGTGCTCTGTTTATTTTAGGGAAACATAGGAATAGGAAACGTGAATACAGTGGTGTAGATGAAACAATAGAAGATGTCATGTTGTACTGTAATAAATATGAATGTAAAACCCTTTATTGTCCCACAATAGGGAAATTCACTCTCTGCATTTAACCCATTCCCTTGGGGAGGGAATGGGTTAAATGCCATTGTGCAGCCCCCGGGGAGCAGTGTGGGGTTAATGGTTTTGCTCAGGAACCCAGAGTGGATGCTATGGGGATTGAACCAGGTACTTTAACCTTCTAAGAGCACAAACGCACTGCTCTTTTTAAAAGTGATTCAGAAAGTAACATTTACAGGATAATAATTCCTTACTTAAAAATAACACAATTGTGTAACAGAATTTAATTAATAATAACAGTCATTCTGGTCCACACTCCCTACCAGTAGGTGGCGGAACTGCATCTATTTGGGCAAGCGCCAAAAAAATGTAAAGAATAAGAATAATCTCCAATGGCAACTGATGTCTAAATTAGTCTATGAAAACAAATCTTGAATTGGTTAAATCAGCGCAGTTAATAAATTGATTTTATTTGTGTTTGATTTGTAAAGCATTTTCTCAAAAAGCAACATCAAACAACACACCGCAATTAGAGTTAATTATCCACGATGAAACATATATAAAAAAACAGCTTGTTCATGTAGCAATCAAACTGAACATCTTTCATTCCTAAAAACATTTTAAAGACAAAATTAAATAAATAAATAACATTTGATGAAATTTGGATTTCACTATCCTTCATTTTCTATGCCCACTCTGATTGGATGAAGCCACGAGCTCGACCAGTTTCCAGGGCAACCAAATGCTGAACAACCGAAAGGATCAATGCGTTGGAACTTAAGAGAGTCTCTTTAAACTCGTTTTAAGATAAAGTTGTTGTTTTGCGTGTGCCTTCTAATCAAAAAGAAGTCTGGGGAACTGGGCTCGTATGAGAAAACTTCCAACATGGTAACTTTTTGTAGTTTGAGCCTGTTAGCTTAGCTTTGTTCGTTGTTTATCATCGTATCTGTGCTTGTTGTAAAGTCTGCGTTTTTCATCCGAACAGGATCGTCACTCGATGTTGAGACACCAGCAGCAGTCTAGGTATCGGGAAGAGCTCCGGCAAGAAGAAGCCAAGCGGCTGGTCAGAGAGCGGCAGCTGCTGGCTGGTCTGAGGCAGGAGGAGAGCGCAGAGAGGAGGAGGTACCTGCGGCATGAGCAGCATCAGCTGAAGGAGCGGCAGATGGAGGAGGAACTGATCAAGGTGGGAGGCTCCTGCTCCTCATAGTCTACCACATCTATTTATCCCCGATTTCAATATAATCACCAAATTATAAACAAAGATATTTACATTTTTGGGACAGTTAAAGATACACAGTAACATGGCTCCTGTTCCAGGAACTAGTTTATGTTTTGGCTTTATTCAATAAGCTTGAGGTTTTAGTTTTTATTTTTTTTATTCATCACTGTATGCAAGGATAAGCTTTAATAATATGTGAATAACAAAAAATATTTTTATTGGAAAAATTAAACAAGCTTAAAATGTCTTTATAAAATGTAAATATCTATATAGCAGAACTAGAAATGATCAACATTTTTGCATTCTGACAAATTCAGCTGTGACCCTTCAAAAGTCACATGGGGTATTTTTTTTTATCAAATGCATTTTTGGAGTAAACAGCTTTTACTTGATATATTTAAGTAATTAATATCAGGGAATATAACTGTGCAATATCTTGTATGACCAAAAGTTTTAACACCTTCTGGTTTACATATTTTTACATATTCACTCTGACTGTAGATATTAATCATACAGTACATTCCAGTATTCTGGACCGACTTCTTCACATTTCATGAAATTCAGGTAAAAAACAATAATTGTATGCACAATAAAACAATCTGAGATGGAAATCTAAGCATTGCTTTTAAAGAAAAAAGCTTTTAACAAACAGACTGGTATGACCTTTGTCCAGTGCAATGCTTATAATAATGACTGAATGTGACTGCAGGCTGAGGAGCAGAGAGTAAACAGGGAAAAGGAGCTGGAACAGGAGGAGAGAAAAGCTAAAGAGCAGGCCCGAATCGACCACGAGAAGCAAAAAGATGAGAAGATGAGACGGCTTATTATAGAGAACAGGTACAAACCATTTATTATGATCTTCTATGTTTTTATGTGTAACCTGGACTTATAAGTATTTAAATTCATCCTTTGATTTTCAGCTTGGAGATCAGAGAACTGAAATCCAAGCTGAGTGCTGCGTATGTGCACAAGGAGATAGCTGCTCAGATCGCAGAAAAGGAATCTCTAAGACTTCAAACCAAAGTGGGTGCCACCTTTGGTAGTTCTTTCAGATTTTATATATTCTGCTATGACTACAGTGCTACAATGACTTTTATCTTTATGTGGCAGCCAACTGCAGTATGAACACAGGAACAAACTAAATCAAGAGTTCAAGTCTCTCAACTTTTCTCTTTTATCTCACTTTAGAGGGAAGAGGCAGAGCTGGCTCACAGAATGAAGAGAGAACAAGAACAAGCTGCTGCTGAGCTCCAGAAGCAGCAGCAGCTGCAACATAACGAGAAGGTGGTTCGGCATCAGAGAGAGTTGGAGCAGCAGCTCATGGAGAAGGAGCGCAGTAGACAGGAGGCGTATGAGGAGTTTCTCAAAGAGAAGCTTCTGGTGGACGAGATCATCAGGAAGATCTATGAAGAGGAGCAGATGTGGGTCTCCTTTACTCCTATTTAAAACAGATAATATTCTAATAGCTGGTTCACTGTAGGAATATTATGTTCCAGTATTTCTATGAAATCACAATGAGTTTTTCTGTTTATTGAGATTCATGCTTTCTGTTTAAGGGAGAGGCAGTTAAAGCTGGAGAAGGTCAAAGCTTCTCGGCAGCAAATGGAGGAGTTGAAAAGGGAACAGGCTGAGTGGAGGCGGATGGAGCAGAAGAGGATCGAAGAGGAAAACAGACGCATCATGGAGTTTGCAAGGCAGCAGCAACATACGGAGGAGACTAGAAGGAATCAGATGAAACAATGGGAAGAAGCCAAGGAATATCGCCACAAAATGGTTGAAAAAACAAGCTCCTCTTATCAGCTTATTGTCTGCTGATTTTTTTTAACACTTCTCCTTGCTGTCCACTTCTGTTATCCAGCTGTGTGAGAAGATAGAAGGGGAGAGAAAACTGAGCGAGGAGATGGAGCATGTCTGTCGGGAGCTTTATTTGGAAAAGCAAGAGGAGGCATACAGACAGAGAGAAATTGTGAGCCCCAAAGAGTTGGAACACTAAAACACTGTTTATCACATCTGAAATATTGTTTCAAATAGAAACATGTTTTTAATCCGCATTATTAGGAGGAAATGGAAAACAGGATCAGACAGAGACTGATGATGCAGCAGACCTTCAGGGAGCAGCTAGCCTTCAAGCAGATGCAGAGGCAGCGGGAAAAAGAGGAAGAGGAGGCTTTCAGGAAAACCATGATGGCCAAGTTTGCTGAGGACGACCGGATTGAGCAGATGAACGCCCAGAGACGTCGCATGAAGCAGCTGGAACACAAACATGAGGTGGAGAGACTGATGGAAGAGAGAAGACGGCAGCGTGAAACTGAAAGGGTACCAACCATAATTCAAAAGCGCAGATTTGTATCATTTTACACAATAAGGCATAGTGGAGAGCAGCAAAGATACAGCTGTTTATTCAGCTGGTATGTCCCTTCACGTTAGCCTGAACAAAGAGTAATAAATGGTGTGTTTTGTTAGGAAGTAGTAACATTTTTAAATCTTTTTAAAACCCTTTTCTCTCTTATCAAGGAAATTGAAGCTACATTTGAAGCAACAGAACAGGAGAGGGAGATGCAGAGGAGACAGATCATAGAGGAAGAGAGACTGAGACTGCTAAAGCTTAATGCAAATAAACTCCCCGGAAACTTCCCTAAGGTTTGTATGAATAAATTAGATATTATTCACAGAGTGCAAATAAAATACATCAGTAAACTGTTGCTGCATCTGTTCTTAGGACATTCTCCGTAAAGATGACCTGGATCACTTTGAGGAAGATTTCAGAAAACGTTTTGAAACCCTACAGACCGATGACTTCTCAGAGTAGTCCCCATGTTGGAGGCCTTCAGCTGACCATTAGGGGGCAGTATAAGGCTGCAGTGAATTCTTCTAAAGAATTTAAGTTCTGAATTTCTACTGAAGTTTTTACTGTTTTTCTACATTTTTCCTATGGATTCAGTTTGATGCGTTTGGACAATCTGTTCATGAGTTTTTAAATAAACAACCATAAGCACAGATGATCCTTTATCAGTTGACAGTGTATATCATCTCCAGTCATTTTTATGAAACCCATTACATAAGTCTTAATATTCCTAAAGAATGGTGTGTTTTACATGTACACTGCTGAGTCAATATAATATAAAAGCTGCAGGTCTTTAAGAGTCCCAAGGGTTTTACAATTCTTCAATTTATTTCAGTCACAATTAATGTAAACATCTTGGAGTTTAAACTTTCAGGTCAACCAAATAGTCTCGCTTTGTTTATGCTATTACAAAAATATGCTTTAGTCTAAATAAATAAATTGCAGCCCCTGCTAAATATGTGCTTAATATCGTCCCGGTTGAAAGTGAACCTCTCCCTAATAGGCAGTCTTCCATGTTTAGCTTTTCTTCATTATTTTTCATGAGTAAAAACAAAAAGTAACCTCCCAGCACCCTCTTCCACCTTTGCTGTGTCCATTACACAGATTGTACTAAACTACAAATGCAGATTATTGTGGCTTTTTCCTTTGCTGCTCTAACAGTAATAGCAGAATTTTAGAGAGCCCGACTAACTGTTCTCCCTGTCTGGGTCAAATAATTGGAAAGCCACGCCCACCTAATAGTGATTGCAGTTTCGTTGTACTATAGCGCAGGGCTCCATAAGATGTCTAAAGCTTAGGATTATATTGAATAACCAAACTGGTTTTAAACTTCTGCGCCGTTTTATCCCTGCTGTTTTCCTCTGAGGCGTCCATGGAACAGCTGGATGTTACAGAGATCAAATTACATTCAGGCTGCCTCTGGGTACTTTTTTTGCATTGCATTTTATTTAGGGGTATTTGAGGAAAAGGTGACCAAACTTCTGAAGCTAGTGTTTTCCTCCCACTTTGCAGTTATGTGCTACATTCAGTTGCGGTATCAGATCATTTTGTGTTTATTGACATAAGCTAAATGAAAACTGTTGAAAGGCACCATGAGACAATTTAATTTTTCATTCAACTCCAAATAATTAAATCCCTGAAAAAAAGAAGTTTCTAATATGAATTAACGGTTAATTTGTAGGAACAAAAATGTCTGACAAATCACCATGACCAAAAACCCTTTTTTTATTGAATAATGAGCAGAACTTTGTTTCTTTACAGCCTCATCGATGACTGCATAGAAGCAGAGATTTCCTGCTCAGGCCACCTTATATGATTCTTCCACCAACTATTAAAACAGGAAGAAGATTAAGCAGTCGCAGAAAAATGAACCTGAGCTTTTAAGAAATAAAACTAGATAAGGAGAAAGAGCAGAAACGCAACACATTTTAGTACTTTTAAAGACTATTTTGAAGGATGTAGTTGGTTGCCATGGCGACAATGGGTGCTCCAGTTGGGACTCCGGGGAAAGGACCACTCGAGCCAGCGATGTCGATATGGGAGTAGGGCAGAGGTGCATCTGAATCCACTCCATGCTGTAGACACATTTCAACAGAAGCCATTAATGCTGATGAACCACTTTAATTCTTAGCAGATACACACACTTTGTTTCCTGTCAGCGTGTCAGGACCTTGTCAAGGCCTGAGGTCATGATGAGGAAAGCTGCAGGGGTCTGATGTCCTCGGGGAGTCGCTGAGGATGGAAGATTGTTGCACTGCAGGATGTCTTCGTACTCGGATGGTCCTTTGTGGAACTCGTAGTCCTCCCGCCTGATGCTGGATATCTCAAACACATCTCCCAACACCTCTCCAGCTGTAAGACAGGGAGTTAAACTGCTGTTACTTGGTCCTGCAAACCCTTTATCACCTTAGACCAGAGGATATTAAAGAGTAAGACTGGCATTTTTCTAATCCACAACAGATCAAAATTAGACACTAATAGTTATTTAATAAGAGTCTAGTATTTGTTTAATAGGTGGACCTCAGACTTTCTATATAGCGAATAGTTTGATATGATTCTAGGTGGACATTAGACTCTTATTGATTGGTTGAAATATTTAAATAGGTTTGTTTTTAGCACACAGAGCTTCTGTTTTAGCATAGCTTGAAAATTCCCAAAAGCTCCATCTATCTCAAAACTAGCTTTAATGCATGTTTTAGATCACTCTCCAGCAGAAACACAGCTTGCATCATTTACTTCAAACAGAAATGGGTCAGATGATCAAAAACAATCCAATAACAATGAAATCAGCCATGAATTTGAGATGAGCAGTTAATTGGCACTAAAGGTGTAGACTGAGGAAAAAAATTACTTGCTTAAAAAATGATACGTTCAAGCACAGTAGAATTTTTTATCTGCTCATGCCAAAGAGCAAAATTACTTCCTGAGACAGTTTGTTTTGATCAGAGGAGAACATCTAATCCATACGAGTCTTTCAAATTAAGGAGCAGTGCACAAAGCAGACTGGTGGAGGTAGCATTACGCCATGTGGCCATTTCCCTGCAGGTGGTACATTAGGAAATATGGAAAAACAAACGGCTGATTTACTTTTTAATGATAACTGATATATAAAACACAACACTGGTTTTGGACTGGATATAACAGGTAGACTATAAGGGTCCAGAAAGGGGGTCAACCCTACTGAATAATGGTTAGAAAAAATTTAATTGAAGCAGCTAAATGTTGGATAATTATATCTAGATACAATTAAATATAATGATCAATCTCTAAAAACTCCAAAAAACAGACTAAAGTCTATGATGAGTGAAGCTCAGCTTACGACTAGAGCCATACTACACTCTAGGGATTCAAAGACTGCATCGATTTTTCTTTATTCATTTTTAAATGGACATTGGATGAGCAAGAAACTAGGTTTGTCTGCAAAAAGTTTAAACATTATGAGTCATTCACCACCTGAGTAATGCCTCTGGGTAAATTTCAACCAGCAGAGATAAATCATTGTAGTTTATGACGAAGTAAAGTTTAAGGTTTGCGTTGTTATCATCTGTACTTTCAACTAGCTGATTATTTATTTACAACAGTTTGCAAAAACACGCTTAACATTCTTTAATGGGTCAAACCTAATCTCACCTTTCTGCCACTGAGCGGCGTTCCCACCACGCTGGGCTGGTCCGTTGTCCATGATGATCTAAAAAGAAATTATTTGAAATTAGGACAAACGTGGACATGAAATATAAACCTTCCGTGGATTTTTTGTCTTTTTTCCCGCCACAGAACTTACTGAGTAGTTTGGTCCCATGGCTCTGATGGCATGACCAGTCAGAGTTGCAATCGTAAAGAGCTGCGGGGAAACCTCCTGCGCCGCCTGCGGAGAGAAACAAACCCAATTAGAGGAGAAACACCAGAGAAAGAGATTGATCAGGGAACTTTTTAAAGGCACCGCCTCCAACCTTCTCCTTCATTTCACAGAGCAGGTCAACCATCACCATACGGCCTTCAGCATCCGTGTTTCCCACCCGGACTCTGCGACCTGCTCGGGACACGACCAGCTCATCTGCCACATAGCAGTCTGAGGGGGGTATAAAAAAAAAAAAAAAAAAAAAAAAACAAAGCAGGAAAATGAGAGGTGAGAACAGCCGCTCAGACCGGGAGGTGATTTATTAGCTGGAGGCATCAACACTGACCTGCACCAACGCTGTTTCTCACCATGGTCATCGCACCCACCACTTTCAGATGCTCTGGCTTCAGATGGGCTAAAATCTGAAAGAGATCAGATCTACATCAAAGAGAATCTACATGTTTTTTTTGTCTTTCATTATGATCATTTTTTAAGCCATTTCTTAATTTCTATGCTACTTAAAGCATAGAAATGCAGCAATGCTGAGACACTAGGGATGAATACAGAGGAGTGGAGGAACAGCTGGTGGAGTGGAGTTTGTCAGCTCATAGCATGCACCAGACATGTACCAAGGGGGCAGCTATGAGATTTAACTACAGCACATCAGTCTCACTGAGCACTCGGACAGGTCGTGGCATGAGACAAACTACATTCCTCTCTACTGCCCTCTGGGAAGAGGATTCGCAGCATTCAGTGCAGGACAAGCGGGTTCCGTAACAGCTTTTGTTGAAAACTCTAATCAAGTCAGACTTCAAGACTCTATCACACTGTAAACATCATACTTGCACTACATGGTGAATCTTCAAAATAGAACTCAACTCAGTGTTTCTACTGTATTTTGCACCATTTCTACTTATTTTTGCACTGCTCTGAACCTTCCACATCAATGCATTTTTGCACCGTGTCTCTCCTACACGGTTTACTTTTTGATCACTGCTGCGTTTTATAAATTTATCACAATTTCATTTTGTATACACCATGTACATAAAATGACAATAAAGTGTGTCTAAGCAAGTCTAAGACATTCAGCTGTGAAACCAGCACATCCTCTGCAATTCACTGATAAACTTTAAAAGCTGCTGAGGACATTTTTATTAAAACACTGATTCAAAAATGTTTATGAATGTTTGTTTTCAATAATATAACTAAATTTATTTATTTATTTTTTTAAAGCATATTTTGATTCTAATGCTGTTAAAAAAGAATTACCTGGAAGAATCCAGCGACAGCAGCTGCTCCACATTTATCCCTGTGCATCCCAGCCATGAAGCCTCCAGCCTTGATGTCTGCTCCTCCTGTGTCATAGGTAATTCCCTGCAAACATCACAAAAAAAAAGCAAATAGACAACACGAGATCAGATCTACAACAATCATGAGTTCCATTATTTCCACTGTTTGTATGAACATCAACTTTGGATTCTTACCTTTCCAACCAACATGAGTGTCTTCTGGATCGGTCCCGCTCCAGAGTACTGCAGTTTGATTACTCTGGCCTGATGACGAGGCACACCTGCGGTAGTTTAAGGCAGTATTTACATCTGTAAAAAACCTTAATTTATGCAATAAGAAGTAAAGCTTTTGTCTTACAGTTTGCACAGCGGTTCACTGCAGCCAGACATGGATACTCCTTCTCCAGAATCCTCACGTCGCTCAACACCTCCACCTGGAAACACAGACCTGTTCAGGCCTCCTTAAACTTTTTTTTTTACTTTAGTCACATTACAATCAGAAACTTGAGTTTCTTTTGAAACTCTACAAAACAGAACATTTAAAATAGGAGGTTAAGTGAGACATGATTTTTCAAAAATGTTTACAATGTACCCAACTCCCTTTACTCTGATAACCTAAAATAAAACAGTCTTAAAAAAAACACTATATGAATTTCAGTTTACATCGACAAAGATAAACTTTACATGATATTTACAAACCTCGGGGGTTAAAATTATGAGGTTATTTTGTATTATTCAGCCACTTTTGACTCCATGAGGAAAGTGATACAAATAATATCAGATAGAGCAGAATTAATTTTTACTGAAGCAAGATGCAGAGGCAGCCATACCATTTATTGTGGAGAAAGATACCAAAATAACAAAGCAATCATTTTTGCGTTGTATTTATTATCATTAGTTATCCAGATAAACAGCACATTTTCACAACATAAACCATTTGTCTATATCCCTCATTCATAACTTCTTACTTAAAAATAATACACTAATTAGTGTTTGTCTATAGTATAAAATGCCTTTTGAGCTCAATGAAGTTTTTTGTGGAGGTGTGAAAAACCTTTCAAATCTAATTTAGCAGGGGATTTTCCTCTGTCAACATGCAGAATTCCTCCTTACCTGCACAGGACTGTTCTTAAACATCTCCTGAACGTATTCAGCCACACGAGGTGCTGCCATGCGCTCAGGGTCT